GCATTTTCATACTCTTACATACATGTAAACAATAAAAACCAAGGATTAACATTTGAAAAGTATTGATAAATGTTTCTTAAAATTATTATGTGAAAAATAAGCATGTAGAAAAAGGTTGGAATGATCTCATCTATGCTGAAATAGATTTTTGTTATTGTTGTATGTCAGTCATCAACTTATAGAAAAATGAAAGAATAGAGCTAAAATAAAACATTTTACAATTCTGCCCTTGGAAAGGAAATGGAGTGGAAGCAGAGAGAGAACTTTGATAACTTATATATTGTGTATGACAGAAGAACATACATTAAGCTTATTATAAATAAAAATTTAAATAAACATCAAAATAGATAATATAGAAAAGTCACCTAGATTATTACTTGTGTCCAAAGAGTTCATGAAGTTATTATTTTGTTTATTTGTTTTCACCTAATGTAAAAGTCCACACAGTCTATTCAGGGAATAAAGTGAGCATCAAATTAGTCTACTGTTGATGAGCTGTATCTATAATAGGAAAACACATTGAGTAAACATACTATCTAAAGATAGACTTAAATCTTTATATCCAAAGTTCCATGTCCATAACAGTATATCCAGGAAATGACTTTCCTCCTCAGGGATCTTGGCCAATACACTTAATTAGCTCTCATTCTCATTAGTTATTTGTAATCTCTTATAAAAATGCAGGAGAAATACAAATGTCCTTTTAGCTTGTGCACATCGATGGACAGAAGACTACAACCCAGCAATTGCATAGAAAACAGAATAGCAGTATTTATACAGAAATGTATTTCCTGTTGAATGAAAATTCCCCTCATCCAGGCTTTCTTTTATGAGAAAGTACTCTATCAATCTCATCCTCAGTTTTCATTTCCTCAACATTTTAAAGAATGCACACCTGAAATTGGGAAAATATATTTCTATTAGTTAATTGGATTTCTCCCAAACCAATGTGCATCTACCATAACATTTCCTGTGGATTAGGCCTGCTCATTTTAGCTCTCGCTATATTTAAGTAAGTACATTTATTTTATGGGATTACATTTCATTTTCTTTTGGGAACATAATCTATTAGTTATTATATTTAAATTTTGGTTATTAGACTTATGGGATCCATGTGCCCTTTCTGAACAATTGATATGGACAGAGAAGAATGGGCAGATATCTCTAGCATTCTATTCAATATACAAAGTTAGCTCATATACAATCTGGTTAATTAGCCTTTGTAAAAATTTCAGTGATTCAGTTATGATCTTGAAAATATGCAAGATGTATTTTATTACCTTAGCCAACCAAATGGTTATTTATTCCATCCTGCTCTTAAAGTCTATCTTAATATAATTTTCTGTGCATGAGTTGAAAATTATAATTTATAATATGTAACTTTCCCTGAGACTTCTCTGATGACCATAAAAATGTTCCTCAGAATACAAGAGACAATTAGAGAACCAACAAGAGAAGCAAATTCTGATAATGAAGTGAATACAGCAAATGCCATTTTTCTTAAGTTTCTGCAGAGAAAGAAGAACATGCCTAAGGAAAAAGTCAATGTAACTATCATAACAGAATTCTTTCTCATGGGATTCCCTGATGACTGGATGTTACAGAGACTGTATGCAACCTTCTTCATCCTCATCTACCTAACAGCACTGATGGGGAACATGCTCATTGTCATCCTTACCCTTATTGACCAGCACCTCCAAACCCCTATGTATTTCTTCCTGAAGAATTTGTCCTTAATTGACACGTCCTTTATCTCTGTCACTGTCCTCAAATCCATCACAAACTCTCTGACCAACAGCCATTTCATCTCTTTCCTAGGATGTGTCTCACAGGTTTTTCTTGTTATGTTTTTTGCTGGCACAGAGTTTGCCCTCCTTATAGTCATGTCCTATGACCGCTTTACTGCCATCTGCAACCCTCTGCACTATGAGACCATTATGAATAGAGGTGCCTGTGTGCAGATGGTGACTACATCTTGGCTCAGTGGATGTGTCTATGGATGCATTCATGTAGCAGGTACATTCTCTGTCAATTTCTGTGGGTCTAACTTAATCAGTTCTTCTGTGATATTCCTTCATTACTTACACTTGCTTGTTCTGGGGAGCAAATTCTAGAATATGCACTTATCATTGCTACCTGTTGTTTTGCTCTTGTGTTGTTTCTTTTAGTGGTTGTCTCCTATGTTCACATTTTCTCAGCTGTCTTAAAGATTTCATCTGCTCAAGACAGGTTTAAAACTTTGTCTACCTGCATGCCCCACCTCACTGTGGTGACCTTGTTTCTCTCCTCTGGAGCCATTGCATACTTAAGTTCAGCCTTCAAATATCCAACATCAATGAACTTCATCATGTCTGTGTTATACACCCTATTACCACCTACTCTGAATCCTATCATTTACAGTCTGAGAAACAAGGACATGAAGGTGGCCCTTGGCAAAATGTTTTTTGGAAAAATGTCCTCAAAGATGTAAAGGTCTTAAATATTGATGACTTTAATATTTACTAATGTATGTCAGATTATTTGGTTTATAGAAATCTATTTAAGGAAGCTTGGTCATGCAACTGGGAACTTCTGGGCTGCTACTCAAAAGATCTGCAACTGAACGCACCAGCCACTACTTTGGTGGGGGAGAAGAGACACCTGGCAATTGGCTCCCTCAAAGAGTATAACCTAGCAAGTGCTATGTAGCAGTTCTACTCTGATATATAGGGCCAGTATGAGTCAGATCAGCTTAAGGTCACATGAAAAAAAAAAAAAATACATATAAATAGTTAGATACCTATTATCTCATTTTTCCTGCTGTATGGAATGCCACATTTTATAGCATTAGATGGGTCTGAATGTTGAGAATTGTCTTGGCAGGTTTGGGGTAATATTGCTCATTTCACATTCATCTTTACTGACACCATTCAGTTTCCTAGTTGGGATGATTTTATTATAGTTAAAAAGTTATATGTTTTAATAAAATTCCTGGTAGCACAGTGTACCTTTCACTCATTAAACAGTTAAAATCAAGTTAAGTAACTTCATACTTGTGATATTTTTCCCTTTTATTTGTTTGAATTGATAAGGATATTATTTATGAACTCAGATTTTGTAATATAGACTCACTACTAAATTTTTGGTTTGGAAATATAACTCTCAGAACACTCTTTAAGAGAATTTTTGACCAGAATCTATTGGTAACAGATGTCATTAGTTAATCACATCATAACAATTTTAAGAACTAGTGATAAAGAATTGTCAAATGGAACAACTTTAATTACATAGTCCAATCTTAGAAAAAATGTATTATGATAAAATATATAGGAGTAGCATAAGAGTAAGAAACCATTACTTATTTCATCTTCACACTCTGTATTCTTCAATATTAAAATTTAGAAACATGTATTGATAAGTTTCAATACATCTACTAATAAATTTAAACTTATTTTTAATTTATTTCTGAACTTGTTTCTAAATTTAATCATTTCTAAGTTTAAATTTAGTACATTAGAATTACATGTATATTTGCTCAAATTAAATTTATTTCTGATTTTCTTCTGAATTGTAATATATTATTATGGAAAAAAATTTCTTGTATGGTTTATTTTAATGGCCATCTGCTATGTTCATATTTTCTCAGCTGTCTAAAGGATTTCACCTACTCAAGGCAGGTTCAAAGCTTTCTCTACATGCGTGCCCCACCTCATTGTGGTGACCTTGTTTCTCTCCTCTGGAATTATTGCATACTTAAGTTCAGCCTTCAAATACCCAACATCAATGAATTCATTATATCTGTGTGAAAACGTTTCTTTTTATTTTTTATTTCTTGCTTCTTTTAATCTTTTCCCTTATTTCCAACTTCCCTCCCTACATTTCCTTCCCACTTTCTACCTTTTCTGGGTTTTTATTACTCTCTTTTTCATTTCCTCAATATTTCTTTTCTATCTTACAGAAAAATATAAATTCTCCCAAACTCTGCATCACTTATGGAATAATTTCTCAAGTAATTTACTTTTTCTTCTCTTTCCACTTCCTTTTCCAAATTTCTAGATATTCTCATTTCCCTCATACTAGTAAGATTTTAAAAAGAGTCTTGCTATTGATGATGATTGGTAAGGGCTTCACATTAATGTATCCATTCTATCCTCACAAAAGCAATGAAACACAACTATTATTAATGTCTCCATTTTTCAGATGGAAAGCTGAGACACAGAGGAAAATATTCTAAGTCCTTCTGTGTTTATATAACACACATTTGGATATCATTCTCATACCATCAGAACATAATATGAATTGTCTTTTACTGGTAATTGCATATTTCTTTTCACTATCTATATGGTGGGAGCTCTGGTAGCATAGTGGCTAAGACACTTGCCTGCTAACCAGACGGCTGGCGGTTCAAATCCACCAGCCACTCCTCGGAAGGAAGGTTGGGCAATCCTACTTCCGTAGTGATACTGCCTCGGAAACCCAAGGAGGAGTCACTATGAGTCGGGTTTGACTCGACGGCACATAACAACAACAACAACAATCTATATGGTTACAAAACAATAGTTATCCAAACTCTATAATGAATATTTAAGGGTTAACATATGTTGTATTAAACATTACTAACATCATTTAATAAATGGATACACATACTGTAGTTCATTGATAATGAAATAGTATCCCACAAAAAGAAATGCTGATATAAGCTTATATATTCAACAAGCTGGATGTATCTCAAAGGCACAATGGTGGGTGAAAATTATGGTCTCAAAAAGTAATATTCTGTAAGATTTTACTTATAATATAACTCTGGGGAACATATCAGTGGTTGCCAGGGGTTAATGTTGAGTGGGTTTGGATATAGAGAAGTAGCATGAGGGAAGACTTTGCAATGAAAAAACTGTTCTGTCTGAGGTGGTAGCTGTAAGTATGTGTGTTACATCTCATAGAGCTATGCTCTAAAGTAAGAGAAATTTTCGTGTTTTTTTTTTTTTTTTTCAGTTAGCCAGAAAGAATATAAACAACCCCCAGAGAATGGAGTGAGTGTTGAATGTTTTTCATGCCCATTGTCACGTCTTCTAGATCCAATCTTCTCTCCTGGCTATTGCTAAACATTTCCTGATGGTATCTTTGAACAGCATCTTGTAGCTCCTGCTTTCTCTCTAGGGCTTCTGGGCCTCTGCATCCTGGATTGTCTGCAGGAAGAATTTAATACTAGCTTCTGAGGGAATTAGACCCTCCTTATGCAAATAGTGGAAAGTGAGAGCAACTGGAAAAGCCTCCTCTCTCCATGTCTTGGGCAGATATTTCTGAAGTGCATCCTGCATGTTTCTCAGTGACTTCTCCCTGAAAATGAGCCCTAGTTTCCCACAACAATAACCATATCTGTATGTAGCTCACCCTTGGATTGACATTCCTTCCTGTATTGTTTCACTCCTATCCATCTTCACTCTCATGTTCTCAGGAATAGCTTCCATAAGTGCACTAACTGTACTAAATCCTTTTTCTTAGATTCTATTTCGGGGAAAGATAAGCTAAAACATGTATTTCCTCGGGAGTTGTGGTGACTTAGTGCCTAAGACATTTGACTGCTAACTAGAAGGCTGGAGGTTCAAATGCACCAGTCACTCTTTGGAATGAAGATTTGGCAATCTACTTCTGTAAAGATACCACCTCGGAAACCCAAGGAAGAGTAGCCATGAGTCAGATCTTGGGGAAAGATAGACTAAAACTTGTATTTCCTAGAAAACACAATTTTGTCACTACATAACATTATTTTGTCAATGTACAATATTGCACATTTCCCTATATTAAAATTGTTACTATTTTAGGAATTATAAATAATTAAAGAATTAACTCCTCTCAATTACCTATTCTCTATTATAGGATATTTAACTTCCATTAAAATCTCCATTTCAATACATATAAACATGTTAAAGCTCTCCATTCCTAACTAGTGCAAATTGATTTCCCGTAACCTCCAACAATTTTACAATATACTTGCTATGGGGCCAAAGTCTTTCTCACTGCATCCACAGGTGAATGTTGTTGTTGCTGTTGTTGTTGTTGTTATGTGCTGTCGAGTGTGACCCGACTCATTGCAACCCCTCCTTGGGTTTCTGAGGTGGCATCACTACTGAAGTAGACTGCTCATCCTTCCTTCTGAAGGGTGGCTGGTGGGTTTGAACCGTCAGCCTTCTGGTTAGCAGTCAAGTGCAAGGAGAATACAAAACAAAACAAAATAGTGGTCCTTGAGTTGATTCAGACTCATGGTGATTCTGCATGTGTCATAGTAGAATTGTGATTCAAATGGCTGTCTATGGTTAATTTTTCACAAGTAGATTGCCAGGGCTTTCTTCTGAGATTCCTCTGGGTTAGCAGTAAAACACCAACAACCATTTGCATTATTCAGGAAATTGCATGGGAGATACTGCTATTAAAATCCATAGTTATTCAATGGATAAAAAATAGTGTTTGTTGTTTTAACATGTAAATATTTCATGGTGACTGAATTTGAAGGTTTTTCACTTATTCAATTGCCATGGAGAAAACTTGCTAATTCTCTGCCCATTTTTCTTGGATGCACATAGTTCTCAGTTTGTACCATTTCATTCAGAACCCTAGTGAT